TAACATAGACTAAAAAAATGAAACAGGCAGATCTATTTGCATTTTTTAAACCAAAATCAAAACACAAAACAAACAAATAAATTTGGGTTTATAAAATAATGAAAAGAGTTAAGAGAAGAGTGTTATTTTTTAAGAATTAATGCAGTGGATATCACATTGCGAACTCATTGTACAGTCAGCACGACATGGAGATCAAAGCACTTTTCATGCTTATCCCCAACTGTCAATGGGGAAGCAAACAGTGGGAGGTTAATGACATTTTCAGAAGCAGTTGTCAATGATTTGATATGTAGATAATAGACTATATTTTCATAGGTAATAAGCAATTTCCTAAAACTCATTATGTGTTTGCTGAAGGTTACTTAGCAAGTCAGTAGCAGAACTAGGAATAGAAGATAACTCTGGATTTGCAGTCCTTCTTCTAAACAATGACTTACTTTGTTTATATTCTGCAAAAGTTTAATTCATTTACCATGTATTTGGTCATGTGTCTACTCATGTACCTAAACATCATTAGCAGCAGCTGGCCACAGTTTCTAGTAAGCCTCCCAGGAAAAGTCAAGTTTCTTCTTCTTTGGGTATGACTGTCTTTTTCCTGCACCATTTGAAGCTCATGTCAGTCAGTGGCCTTCTACATAATCTAAGAATATTTAATAGGGCAAATGTCTGTGTTTCAAGACATAGCATACTTGCTACCACATAAGACTGGCAGCCATCTGTCCCAGTAGCATGAGATGTCTATCACTCCTCTTCACACCTATGTTTTCTGCCAGAGATCTGCCTACTCAGTCCAACAATGTGTTACGCCTGGTTCCAACACTACAGGATGGAGCACCACCCACACTGTTCAAGTGTCAGAGCCCTGTACTCCTGCCAAACCACTGTAAGACAGTTTCACTTCTGAAACTTGCTGAAAAATTAATTTTGCCAATGTGGACAAAAGCGAGTATTGCCTCCTCATTACACTCCCACGTCCATAGGACAGGTTCTCCACGTGCTGACTTATATAAATATTGTCGCAAGTAGCTAATTGGCTCCTCACTGTCGTATCCACCCACTCACGGCACACATTACATATCAAATTTCAGAAGGCCACAAATGCAACATAGCATGCTCCTAGGCTAGTCATTCAATTAAACCTCTTATTTTCTAATCCTGTAATATGCCTAGTTCAAAAAAATAAGGCTTTACTTTTTAAATACCTGCAAGACGGAATAGAAACAAAAGTTCCAAACAGGGGATGGTACAAAGACTGTTCTCATGTGGAAAACTCAGAATTTCTAATACAAGTGCCCTTTTCGGCAGGATGGTGGACTTTTATATAACCATGGCAACATTAAGCTGTGTAAACAAATTTCTTGAACAAGACAGAAAGAACCCTAGAGCATCCATCAGAGAGAGGCTAGACCTTCCAATAGAAGTTCGACGTTAAACTTTAAAACAGAAAACCAAAGAAGAAAGCTTTCTAGAAAATGAAAAAGAACTTAGCAGAGCCGGACAATCAAGAGCCTACTATATTAACTGAAACATGCAAATATGAGCAAGTTGATCTAAAAAGTTTTGAGAATATATTCCCATTCTTTCCTGGCCAGTGTATCAGGCCAGAAAAAAAACCTTTTAAATTGGTCGGAACACCATATCCCTCTGAACTAGCAAAGACAAAGACTTCTCAGTTAATATGCCAGTGATGCAAGCTGTCTTCAGGTAAGGCTTTACAGGTGAAAGAGAGCAGAGATATTTCTTTGCAATATCTTTACCTTGTCATAGCGTCTTTTACGATATAAATCCTCAGTCAGGATTTCAGTAAGTAGATCCATATTCAGGAAAGTAACTCAAGCCTATCTTAAAGATCAATATCCCTAAATGCTAGAAAAACACATTTAAGTTAAAAAAATTGCCTATTCTGTTAAATTGGGATCAGAATGTTTAGATTTTGCATATTCAATGTAAGAGAGTGAATTATCAATAGGTAAAAAAAAAAAAAAAAATCCCTTTCCTCCAGAAATGCTTTTTACAGTACAAAAATGGTACTCCTCAACAGCATTCAATGTTCAACCGTACATCTCTTTTTTCCCTGCCTTTAAGCCGTCATCTTAAGTGGTAATGTAAAAAGGACATATATATATATAACTCACGTGTGCAGATTCACATATGCTGTATCAGGGAGGCCTTGACCCCTGTTTTGTACTCACAGCACTGGCAATGAAAGGGTTTGCTGCCAGCACATATTCCCATGTGTTTTTGCTGAGCTAGTTTTGAACGCTTCCTGTCAGAAAGGAAATAAGCCTTGTCAGAGCTGGAAAATCATTATCTATTTTCCTGTATAAGTGGTCTGAAGGGATGACATTTCTCAGCTACTGTGTTAATTTAGGCTTTTAATGACTTTTATCATGCATATTCAAAGCTATAAGTTAAATAGGAAAGATTGGTATCAACAGAGGAGTAATGAGAGCACAAAAATTCCCATTAGACCTCACTACAGTCACGTACTTCAGTTACTATTTTATTATCTTTCAACTATTTATTTATACTCCCAGGATGACATACTCTCCTGTGCTAAAGTAATTTACTAGCAATGATCACTGCATAACGCAACATAATCATACTGGATTGTTGCATTTCATCTGAATGGTCCAGTTAAGCTTTCCAGAACTTGTTCGTCTGGACAAGAAGGACAGATTTACCTTCTCCAGAATTGCGTGACCCACAACTCTTTCAGGCCTGCAAATGGAATTTATTTAAATGGAAAAAGAATATATATCATAATTACGTGTGCGCTTATAAACGACAAGAGGATTTCTAGGAAAAAATTGTAAAATATTTGAAAAAGCCTATACAGAGCACAGATTTTCCATTCTAAATTCCTTATTTGCCAGATTCTTCCCTCTACTATGCTTATAGTACCTCAAAACTGTCCAGCTGTCTCAAGCATGTGAAGTTCTGAAGCATGTTCAAATCTCAGCAACAACAATGGAAGCATTGGACGTTCACAAATTCATGAACAAGTCTATAATGCAAACATCACATCCTTAACGCATAGTAACTTTAAAGGGAAAAATATAAGCAAGGAACAACCTTAAAATTCTTGTCCTACTGAAGTCTACTATAGTAGGTTAAAAGGTGCTTACATCTATATCCAGATTCCTGATCAACACTCAGAAAGAAACAATGCCCTTTTGAATCATACCTGTAAATAATTAATTACTAAGTAAATACTAATTCCAAATACACACACTACATTCACATGCTGCAAGTAATAAACACTCTTACTCATTCCTTAAACTCTCTATAATGAAAGTATAGCTATTTTCATGGCACATTTGTGAAGGCACTTAAATTATATTGTTTATAAAATAGCAGGCCTTTAAGAAAATCATTAAATTGGTTTACATTATACTGAGGACTTCTACTGGTGAAAGTATTCCTGTTAATTCTAAATTAAGAGTGAACCATTCAGCTGCTGTTTTACTGTAGCGCTATTCAAAACAAGAAAGACGCAAAAAGGGATTTAATCTTCAGCTATTCGTGTGATTTAACACTTTCTTGCCCCAGAGAAATAAAGCTTACACTGGTCACAGAATAAATTTGCATGAGGGAGCTAAAGCACTCAGAGAAGTTTTTAAAAAGTGTTCTTTCACAGAAGATATGAAAACTAAAACAAAGAACCAAGGACCTAAAAGGAAAAAAACTAGGACTTAAACAGTGGGCTTCAAGGTGAAAGCCACCTCTGACAGGCAAGCTGTGCCATACTGAATAACTTTTGTATTAATTTTTCCCCCTTTCCTAAACATTTGGGATCTTTTAAGGGAAAAGAATAATACAAAAAAAAAATCTGAAAGATCTAGAATTCTGAACTGTGTGACAGAAAGAACTTTTTTTAAGTTATGAAACAGAAACAAAAAATGCAGACACTAATTTCTTCGGTATCTTTGTGACTCCAACACAACTACAGTAGTACCGCATTATAACATGTCAAATCAAAAAACAGCAAAACATTCTTTGTTATCATTTCTATTCATTGAAGTTACAATTAGAAATGTACTTTTTATGCATTTAAAGGCTATGTCTTTTACAGTGACATAATAGAATAACCTTGCTCTGTTAATGGATTATGTGTTTTGTAGAAAAGTAGGCCTATTTGCATTTCCTAGCTATTCAAATTACTCTTAAAAAAAAAAAAAAAACCTTTAAAAATAGTTATTTTAGAGGCAAAAGTCCAAAGGAACCTGGCTTTGTAATATAGATGATTTAACCTTTCATCTTTCAGATGTAAATAAGATGTTTTTGAGACAGTGGGGAATTCAGACCCCTTAAGACCAAAGGGGACAGAATAGATTATCATGAGTATTCTTGATCAGAGTTTTAGGCTACATAACGTTTCCATTTACATTATAATGCTTATGTTTTTAATGAAACAGTCATGCGATACATAATAAATCAGTCTTCTCAGGAATCAGTTTCATTCTTCCCAATTAGCTTTTGAACACTGATTACGGGCAGCTAATCCCCGAAACGCCTCACTGATAATTTTCCCCTCTTTATAAGAGCTAGCAGAGAAAGCTCAGTAAGGGAAAAGGTTAGACTGCCCTCTCTCTGTGGGGTCTTGCCAACTGCTACTTCTGTAACCTAAACATGATTATCACCACACACCTTCCTCACCCAACACAGAATTATTTTGAGGGTTTGATTGTCGGAAATAACAACCATTCCAAGAGAAAGGAGAAATGTTTTCAAAGGCATAGGGTAGCAAAGAAAATGAGAGAAAGGCTAACTGGAGAAATTCTAACTTTTAGAAAGGTTTACGTTCTTTTTCCCCTCTCTTTATACCCTCCTTTCCAAAGGAAAAAAGTTTCACAAGTTATAAACACAATCATTCAGCAGGTACCAGCTCGGTACCCCTAGCGTTATACAACCGTCTTTGACTACAATTTTTACATGCTGGTAACTCTTAAATGTCCTTTGCTCATGCTAAAAAATAAAAACAATGATGCTACTTTTAATTGAAAAACATTCTGAAGTTTATTTTTCACAATTTACGATGCCTCTCCTGCTACCCATAGTATCCCCTTTAAATTGAGGCCTTTAAACTCACATGTGCTGTCAGCAGAAAATATAAGGCATCCTTATAAAGCAGATACATGAACTAACAACATCACTATACAGACTAGAAAATAAAGCTTAGAGTCCAGTGTGAGAAAAAAAAATGGCCATGGGAACATTTTTTTGAATTGTTATAATATATTAATTTAACTTGAAAAAGTAGAAAATAAACATTTGAAAGACGTGAGCAAGCCTTAGGTGATTTCAACTTTTAAATAACAGTGTAACTGGATAATGTTTTCTGGCTTTTTTTTTTCTTTTAAAGATATACACACATCTAATACCATAATCATAAAAATCATAAACCTTAGTACAGAACTACCTTTTTCTATAGGCGTGAGCTAGATTTCATTTAGTAAATTCTACTGTCTAAATCTAAAAACAATGAAGAATTGCAATTCACACATTCACACAGTGTAGCAAATGAGTTAAGTAGAAACCATCATTTTAAACTGGAACTCTGAAACCAGGAGGTAGTCTGTCCTGAGGTTTACAGGCACAGAGGAACACTGAGAAAACATTTGAAAAGTAAAATCCAGTATAACGTTGTTCCTTTGTTGTTCCAGTATAATGTTCCTTTGCTGCCCTCTTCTGGGGGGAAAAAAAAAAAACCCAAGACAGCCAAGACTATAGCTGTTCCCTACATACCATTACTTGCACTGTTCTGATAATTCAACACTGTGACAGCAATTCAAAGGAATTAAAAAAAAAAAGCTCTAAAATTAAAGTATAAATATATTCTAAAATAGACTTCCCAAATGAATCTGTTGATCTAGGCATAATGAAAGATGATTCTGGGAAGACGAGGAAACGAGGCTACTGCTGTGGGGTTCTGGAGCTCTGCGTAGAAGGACAGACAGCCTGTGCATTTAGAGTCACAGTCAGCATAGCAGGGATATCTTTACATCGTTCTGCCATCAGCTAATTAACCTGAGCTCCTGGACATAACACTGAACTGGCTGAGGTTCACAACACACTTCATTCTGCCACGTCTACCACAGGGTCAGGGCCTTTAGTGCAAGTAAAGGACAACTACAGATTGTTAATGTAGCCATTTACTAGTTTCATTAGTTTGCTGCTCTGAGAGGTCATAAGAAAGAAGCAGTGTTAACATGAAGTTTGTTTTGCTATATAGATGTCACAGCGAAACTCAAGTCAGTTGCGGGGTATGAAAAGTTCAAATAAGTCCTTAATCTTTGCAATTGTCATGACGATGACTTTCAGGAACAGCTCCAAAAACCCATTCAATAAGCATCCTTTTTACTTCCAAAACAGACAGATGTTATGCATTCAGATTAACAATACATCTCATATGTAATCCCAGAATAAAAACCGTGTTGCCATACATTCCTGGACCAAAATAACAGTTTAAATAACATAGTGATGTAAACACTTAACCTTGCACAATAATACCTCTCAAACACTTTAAAATTGAGACAGGTTATTTCGAAACATCTCACTATAAACGTCAGAGCAACTTGTCCTTCTGCTTTGTCAACTTCCTATGACTGAAATGTGCTTTGACTATGACAAGGCTTTTTAACCTACTACCTAATTAAAAAAAAGATGTCTATGTCAAAGATATATCACCTTTGCATGTCAGTCTACTCTGTATCTACAATCAAAGCTGATAGTTCACTACAAGTAATCAGGTCCTTGACTATCCAAGCACCAACTTTTTTAAACACTAATTTCAGCAAGCCAATAAAATATGTATGTATTTATTTCTACCCGAGCAATAACAACTTCAAATGACCAAATTCAGATTCGCTACACACTGACAATGACTGCAGTCCTAGAAAAAGGTGGAGTGGTAGGTGGAGCCCAAAAAACAAAACCATTTGGAACATGAACTTTGGCAATGTGAATCATTTGAACTACAATATACAACTTTAAATTTCAGATAGTGGTTCACCTAGTTAACTGAAGATATCCATCGTGAAAGTGTTTTCTAATACTGTAAGAGACATATGTATGGTCACATACCACAAAGAAGAAAGAACATCCCGAAGATGGAATTCACATACTTAGAAGAAACCTAGAGAAATGGAACGTACGCGGCACTAATGTTTTAAAAGCTTCTCCTAAATACTGGAATAGCTCTTATTAGAATATTGTGTGATGTCAACTCGTGGATAGGTGGCTACCAAAGATCACTATCTTCACTATGAATGAAAAGAGCAAAAGATCTTTTCTGAATAGCAAAATGTTGATTTACTTCATTGGAAGAAAACCTCAGATGCTTTCTCAAGTTCTCTTTGGAAAAAAGGATGCACTTGAGGTCAGGCAACTACAATGAAGCTGAAATTTGCATTAGCAGATAAAACTAACACTTCAGTAAATATGCCTGTTACAAATGTAACCATGACTGCAAAAGAAGGTGTACATTGTCACAATTTTTTCATCTAGTTTATCTGCAGAATTCCAAGAAGCCTCACAGTATTATAAACACAGCATGTCTCCTGGCACATCTCCTTGGCTCTTTTTTGCTGTTGCCTGTAGTAAAATGTAAAAAGAGAAAACCTTTCAGTCGGCCCATTTCTTTATTCAGAAGAGCAGTACTATCACAGACCATGTAGAAGACACCACTACTTGAACAGCATACATAATTTTTTGTTTAGGCTATCTGTGGACAAGTTTTAAAAGGCGAGGGGGCGGGGAGGACCAAAAAATGCCTTTGACTACATTTGTACAGTTCTCTATTAATTGCTCTGCAATGAAGATCTACAGAACTACCTGGAGCATAACAAACAAAATACAGTTTTGCTCTAATATTGGCCATTCCTACTGCAGGGGCTGCAAGCAAAATTCACTTGAATTCTCCTTTGTTTTAGTTGCTTTTGTGTTGTGGAACACAGGACAATCCTCAGCCTTCTTTCTTCTTTTCTTCTCTTCCACTTTATTTTTCTGACGGATGTATTTGCGATGCCTGGTTTTGAATGCTTGATCACATAATGAACACAAAAAGGCTCTAGAAGCTTTGTGGTTTTCCATATGCTGTTTCAACTCTGCTCTGAATAGCCAAGGAATAAATAAGTAAATAAACTAATCCAGAGAGAAACCCAAAATACAGTATCAATCGTTATTTTACATTACCAATGACTGAAAAGACTTAATAATTTGGAATAAGAAACTTTGAAGTCAAAAGTTTTAAAGGGACTTTTGAAATTTTGCAACCCTCAAATGAATACACTAAGAGGAAAAAAAAACCTTGCAGACCATTCTGTATTATGCTCATGAAACAAACACACAGGAAATAAGAGCTCCCCAAAACAGCTAGACAAGCTGTTTGATTTTTTTTATTACTGAACTAGATAACAGAGTTAGAGCTAAGTTGTTAAGTATGGCAAACATTGTTAAGTATAGGAAACTGCTGTTTTACTTTTGCATGTATTGTAAATACAATGCAGGAGTAGATGACTTAACTACAATGTTTACTTGTCATTCACAGATGCAGCCTAAAAGTACAGACAACCATTCTCGGATGCACAGTTTCATTAATTGTCACAGTGCTGCTCAGCACAAAGAGAAGAAGGAAGCAAAACAAGCATAAATGATAATGATATAAATAACGTTTGGAAAGTCACTACTTGGATGGCAGACTTGGGATCACAACAAATATCCCTGCGTTTTAAGAATGAGAAAGCAGCAAGGAGAACCATGGTTTTCAGGAATCTCATTTGACCTGAATCTACTGGATCTATCAGAATTAAGTGTTTTTACCATATTGCAAAAGCCTTAACTAACAATGTAGAGTTTTGAAAGTCTTCTTTTCTAACTTGCCTCAGTTTAATTTCCAAAGGTCATCTTATAGGTAGATAAAGAACAGACAACATAGTTATATTATGTAAGGAACAATATAAGCTGTAAGGAATTAATTTATTCTGAGCTGTTTATTTTTATTGAGTTAGGAATATCCAAGTATTAAATTTCCTTTTTTATACTGTTGTCAGGGTAACACAACATTCTAATTACATTGTAAAGATTAACATCGAGATCAAGTGAAGTGACAGCCATTTACAATCCAAAATATGAATTTAAAACTGTGCTGCATATACATTTAAATACACAGTGTATTTTGTAAAACTTGGAAAAAGATAAGCCTGTTACATGATTGAGAAGACAACCACCATTTGTTTCAGCAGAATAAGTTGATGTACTCATGTCACTGTAAAGACAGAAGCATTATACCTCTGACAAAGAATACTTTTATCCATGAAAAACATAATTTGGCACAGAATTGCTTTTGGCATAGTTTGTGTTTTATTGCTTTTGGATGAGCCGCTTATTTTAGAACAAAGTATCAAAAATTCTCTCTTTTCCCAGTAGTATACAAACAAGATAAAACAGAAAAGGTGATGTTAGTTGTTATATAAATGGATCAATCCTCAAACAGTTGTATCAACTCTGAAGGTAAATTGTAAAGATCCATCAACTTCAGCAGTAGGTATCAACACCCCCCCAGGCCTTGGTAATGAAAGACACTTCAGCACACTACTGTTAAAAGGAGGAAAAAATGATGTTTCCTCACCCACTGTCATCCAGTCTTAGTTATCTTACCAATTCCTTTTAATTTAATGGGACAGCAAGCAACCATATTACAAATCCTGCAGGATTATGGAGCTTATACAGTGGCAGGGGAAGGAGGGGAGAAGTTGTCACTGTTATGGCTACACACAGATTAAAAAAAAAAAGTATCTTATGCTTTCTTTGAGATAGGATACTCGAGACAGCATTATGAATAAACAAACACTTACCTGACCCTCCACTCAGTGAAGGCCAGCTCCATGCTTCAGCGGGGTTCGGTGGTCAATACAACATTACCACCGTAGTATGTTTTGGGATGTCACGATGGAGCTGAAGCCAGTGATCCAAGAGGGTCTAGATGTCCCAGGACCTAAGGAAGAAATACGTAAATTTTTAAATAACACTGTGCTGGATGGTCTAACAACCTGGTAACAAAGAGCATTCACCACACACTGCTAAAGTTGATGGAAGATTTTGGTATTTTACCTTAATATGCTAATATAAATTACCAAAAAATCCCTTTTTCCCTTTTCTTATACAGCAGCAGTAGATGACATTCAATGAACTGTAAAGCCTTCTTCCACGGATTAAAATAAATAAAATAAACAAAACCCAAGCTCATTTAGGATGCTAAGCCAAGAAACAAAAAAACAAACAAACAAACAAAATCAGGAATTGCCAAAATTAAAGTTACATTGATAACCTCAAATTCACTGGTTTTTGTGTATATAGTCAGTGCTCACTAAACAATAAACCAAGATTAACAAAGCACTCTCCAGTCTATGCACTGAATTTGGGAGGCAACACATAAGGAAAAAAAAATTGTGTGGTACTTCAACTGTATTAACTCAAGATTATGCAAGCATATCCATCCACACAGATGATGGGTGCTTGACTGCAGCTGTTCTGTTGTTGTTGTTAAAAATGTTTGAAGTTTTATTATTCAAAACAAAATACAAAAGAAGTTAAAAAACTAAGAGTCCAAATTTCCCAGTAGAGAACTATATACGAGCCATTGGCACTGCCAAAACCTTTAAATCCACTAGAAACCTCAGCTGCTTGACCTAACTGCAGCTTGAGTAGTAACTGTAATAGTAAATAGGGGTGACCACGTATCCCATTATATGGTGCTGGTTCACTTATTTGAGACTCAAAGTCCTTCTCCTCCACTTCAGGCCACTCTGTCACATAAGTTTTATTCTCTGAGACATCCCAGTTTATTTCATTTCCTGCCCACTCTGCCCAGTTCCAGCAGCAGTTTCTCTAACGTGCCAAATTCTGTGCCAGGTCATCTCCTCATGACCTCCAGCAACTCCTCACAGGTTTCCCAGCCCCACTGGTCCTTAGTATCCAACTGTGTTTTTAAAGCTCTCTATGCAAGAATTCAAAACCTTTGAGGCCAGGGACCAAAGGAAAACTGGGTTTTCTTAGTTCTTGTCCCTGCTTCCTTAAAGGAGTCTGCCACAGTTAGCTTCCTGCAGTTAGGTAACTTCACCTTTCACTCCATTTTTCAGAGGCTGTGAAGAAGCCAAATCTCGGTAGACTTCTGCATCAGGACTGTGCCTTTTTGCTGTTCTAACGGAAGACACCACCTGACAAATGCTCAGGTCTTGCTGCAAACCATGGATCATTAGGCCTTTTTAAATGAAAGGTATCCCCACTCTTCTGATTGTTTCCATTTTTTAAAAACTTTATAATGAATACATGCATTCTAGAAAATTGGTTGAACCATTTTGGTTGATCTCTTTTTAAATAAAAACTATCAATTGGAGGTCAAGAATCAACATGAAAATTTCAACCAATACAGCTGAAAACAATTTAAAAAAGGGGGGGGAAGGAGGGGGAAAGACAAGACAGCAAGTGAGAACAGGACCTTTTAAATAAAAGGTAACCTCAGTAACAAAGCAGAGCATCCAGAGCAGTGTAAAAATGCAGTGTGCTTTTACATAACATAAAATATGCAGTAAGCACTTAGAAAAATATAACACGTGTAACAGATACAGGCAGATGTCATGAATGCATTTCAGTCCTATTTTCTGAGGAAGATAATCAGATTCAAGATTATCCTAGGAAAGATGGTCACCCCATTTATTTACCAGCAAGAAGAACTACTGTTCCTGGACACATATAGCCTTTCCCACTATTTAAAAAAAATTAAAAAGTTAAATTTGATGGTGCAGGATTCTGCAAAAGTGTGCTTCACTCCAAAGGAGCTTCACTCCTTTGTTCAAGCTGCAAGAGATAAAGCTGTATAGACTCCTCAGAAAATCGTTTTATTATTTAAGAAATTTTGTACTTAACTACTTGCTCATTTGATGAGACTACAGTGCATACTGGCCGATAGGCTGCTACACGTATCCTTGTTAGATTCACCCTGCCGTTAACTTCCTTTAACTTGCCTAGCTTTGCCAGAACCAATAGTTTTGGTAACTGCCAAAATAAGACAACTCAGGAGCTGAAATCAACATTAAAAAAAAAGCAAAAAGCCAAATGTCTCATGGTGTCCTGCATCTAGATTCCCCACATCTCACTGCACTGTCTTCTTTTCTCCTCTACCTAATAGACAGCGGGCTCCGTAGGGAGATGAATGCAGCTGTTACATCCATTACTACCAACAACATTTGAAGATGGGGATTCTTGTTTAGTGCCTTCAAGAGATTTGTGAAAAGTCCCTAATCCTTCCTTCTCCCATTCCCAAAACCACAGTTTTCATCTACATTTTCATCCAGCAGCAGTAGGTGATGTTCAAGGAAGTGTAAAGCCTTCTTCCGCTAACTAAAACAAATTTACTTTTATATATACACTTGCTTCAAGTATATATTTAGCACTGGGAAACTCACCTCCTCTCTATAAAAGCAGATAAAACTAAAGCATTTCATTAAAAATCCAGTACATTTTTATATAGTATGTATAAAGCATTTGGTGCTCTTTACAAACTAAGCAGTTAAAAAAAAAAGGAAAAAGAAGAAGTATTGGAGGGAAGGAAAAAAAAAAAAAGATCCACCTACATTCCTAAGAAACGTCTCACATTCAGTATATGGAGGCAGTTTGGAATAGTAACCATGGCTGTGCAGGTGCTTGTAGACCTTGCTCCATTGCTTATCTGTATTAAAAACCACAGTTTGTTAAAAGGTTGTGATCAGATTAATTGCAGTAACTTAAAACAAAAAAATATATATATACTTCTCCACATTAAACAGTTAACTTAAAGGTTCACATTAAACTCCTGCGTAGTTTTACAAAGTCTTTTACGCTACATGAGGCCGAATTTGGCTCAAATATGCTGTACTTCAAAGGAAAGAGCAATTGTTAATTAGGAAGATACAGTTTGTTCATAGGGCTCTGGTGGCCCAAGCAAGGTTAGCTCAGCACTAACTCCTCATTTTACTACCGCTTCCAAAAAAAGGTTATAGAACACTGAGCTGGCTCCTCTCCCCAAACATCAAACTAAAAAAAAGGTTAATAAGCAGTTCTCAAAGGTTTCAAACCACAGTTTAAAACGAGTTAGTAAAATACATACTTGCAGTGCAGTTATTTTGATTCTAATTATGGAGCCTACAGATACTTAGGAAACAAGCATAATACCCAAGCTAAAAGGGACCGTTTTTAGCGGTGAGACACAATATCCTTTCCACATCCATTTTGTTCTAAGCATACGTGCTGACAGTCTAAATTTGGGCTGGAGGAAGTGTTGGCTGGATGTTGTGGGTTTTGCATAGAGAATTTCTGTTTAATGGGAAACACAAGACCACTAACTCTTTCACACAAAGGTTTTAATATCAAATCTCTGAACTTCATAGCAACTTTTGGACTCTTTTCTAAGATTAAGATTCAGAGGCCAAAAACTACGACAGAGAGCATGATTAGCCTTTCAGGTTTTTGCCTCTTTATCACTGATGTAGATGGTAAACTGTCACTATACAGCCTATATAAATATCAACAATTATTTTAATTTAGACAAACAACAAGTAACATCCAGGTAACAGCATACAAGAAGTCGTCCTCAGCTTAGCAAACTGATAGTTTTGACCTAAACAAATATTCAGGGAGAAACCACCGAAATATGTTATCAATTTATACATTTTGCCACTAACCAATTAAGCTTTCACGTAGGTTAAAAGTTAGAGCAAGCAAACTGCACCAAACAAGGTTAGCAGCTGTAGCTAAAACTTGACGCTAAGAGCCAAGAAGCTGAACATCAGTTTAGTACTAAGAAACTTCACTACAGTGAAAACTCATTTCAAACACTACTACTGTAGCAAGCAGGAAAACTCACATGCTCGTTTTATCAGCTCCACAGCATAATAAAATAGCAGAAAAAAAATTCTTTGTAATGTTATGGTAAAACTCCCTTATCTTTAATGGAATTAAATGACTGAAAAATATTAGCAATATGAAGACGACTCTCACAGTTTCTCCACCTCACCACGTACAGAAATCAGCACAGTATTAAATATATATTTTAAAAGGGCTTCCTTTGTTCACATTTATCACAGAAATGCAAATATACAAAACAAGCATCTAAAATATTTACAAAATAATGACTCAGTCAATTGAATAAGACTACCAATAATTTAAAACTTGAATTGTTTATATACCAAGCTTTCAACAGGAAGTTAGAAGCATGCAAAATATGCAGAAAGTTTTCTTACCAGTTAAGGATAAGTTATAACCTTGAAAATTCATTGGCCCATGGAATGCAATGGGAATTGCATGAACGTATCCCAGCAAATCTAACTCCGGGATGTTTTCTCACTACAGTTATAAGGGACAATTGATTTTTTTTTTCTCCTTTCAGACAGACTGGAGGGAAGCTATCCATTAAAGACAGAAATTAAAATCTGTCAATACAAAGCAGTTCTCCTTTCACTTAAGGAAACATATTGTTCACATAGGCATTCATAAATCTTGCCACTGTTGTAGTCATTCATGTTTTGAAATATTGTGAGAGGGGCTGTAACACTTTCAGTTCTCTTTCTACAAGCTCTCCTTCCCAACCTCTTAGAGAAAGACACTGGACAGCAGGCTCACTGCCTACTTACCGTTCTTTACGATTAAGTGGAGATGATGTACGCTGTTGTGAAGAAAATAAGAAAAACACTCAAGTTTTGCTTTTAGTTCTGAAAATGACTTTTTTTTTAGTCACTTCTCCTGCAGAAATTCTGCAAGTATCCACTACAAAAATTCTACTTCCAGCCATTTTAAATAGTTAAATCTCAGAACAACCCTACCAACCCTACCTACTCCAAAGACAAACAGGAAGATGTTAGCCTTAGACTGCACCACCCATGATCTGTTATTACCAAACCCTTCAAAATCTATACTGCAACACAACACGCAATGTCCAGCCCAACTATGATCACAGAAATCCCTGTTTATTCCACATTACCCATAACTATCCTGCTCCTAACATTGACTATTCTATTACCTGGCCACTGCCACAAACTCCAGAGCACTCCTGTAAGCCATCTCCTTATTTCACAAGGATTATCTACTTCTGTACTGGGCTCATTGGTCAATCAGAACCAAACCAGCAGTTCAACCCAGACAGCAAGAGTTCGGTCTGGTATGAACAGTAGCAGCCATAGGAACTTTGCTAAAAACTTGAGAGACACGCATGAAGTTACTTTGCCAAAGTCCTCCATTTATACACAGAGAGAGTATTTAGCTATTAATCGCTTCACGCAAAGATAAAAAGCATTAATCTTGATAGAGATACGTTCACAGTAATATTTTACAGAGCCACTAAAAAACTACTAAGATTAACTAGACTAATGGAATACGAAGGTCAACTCCTAGAAATATTCAGCATCCACAACATAAAACGAGCCAGGATTTTGTGACACATAGGAACATCAAAGGGGGAACACTTGTGACACTTCTTTCAACTTTTGCAATTCACGTTTCTTCTTTTTTTAAACCACTGTTAAGACAGTTTGCTGTAACTTCTCACGACAGCATCTGCACCTCATGCCAAAACTGTCAAACTAAATCTTTGCACTGAACAAATAAAGTTAAGTGCACAGACAAGTTTATAGCTGAGGCAGTTGTATAAGAATAAAAAAATATGCATTCAACTTACTGGTAAAAATCACAGTGCATACATTTAAACATATCCTGATAATGGCAAGCTGTATGGAGATTTCTTATCTGCTCAGTTTCAAAAGATGATGAACACTTTGTGCACTGAAAGACATGAGGCCAGGCCTTCCCTGAGGCATTTTCCAGGCACTTTGTGACATAAAAACACTTTCATAGGCACCGGTCGGTTCCTTTTACCTGCTTGTGTTTTTAAATGATTTTCCATTAAGTCTCACTCAGTCATGTGACAACCGCAATCAACACATTTAAAGCCACAATCTGCATCATGACACTTGTCATGGATTTCATGAGCATCTTTTGACTTCAGTGCTAAGTTGCGTATGTTGCATAAACACTGCATCCGCTCAGAACCTGGCTTTAAGGTGTAAGTGTCTTTCAAAGGATGAGATAACCCATTATTGTTAAGCTTAGTTTTCTTCTAATTTTTATAAATTTCATGTCTCACTTCAGCATTGAAGAGGCTTCATCAGTTGGAGAGGCTTTTACTTCTCCAACTACAGTTAGAGTTTTAATACTGCAAACGCAACACAGACCAAGAGAAAGAAGATGTTCAGACTGGGCTTCTTCCTCATCTTTGCTCTCTTTAGACTCACTGGAGTCCATGGAATATGAAAGAGAACTAGACACTGCAGAACAGCGCTCCTCGATCTGAAAGTGACCTGTTTCTTCTCCAAACAAGGTGTTCACAGGAGTGAGAGGCATGAGATTTTCATCCCCTATGCTATATGACTCCTTTTCATTTTGGTCTGGCTCTGTTTTAACAGAGTCTGAAACCTGACATGCTGCATCTGTCTCATGCATGGTAGCCAGCTGGGTCCTGACCTTACTTTTGATGCTGCTTGTGAACTGACAAAGTTTGCACCTGTATGCCTCCACTAGAAACATTTCCACCAGGCCAGCAATCCGGGCTTCAAAATCCTCAGCAACAGCAGCATACAACTAGGATATTGTGATTTCCTCAGGGAAGTGCAGGTTTGTTGATGGAACACATTGGTATTTGCATTTAAATTCATTCATCTTCAGTAAGTGCTGGTAAGTAAATATACTAAAAAAATAAAAACTATAAACAGTTAAAATTTGCTTGATGATCTCAGAGACAGCAGCAGATCTTAAACTATTCAAAGAGAGAGTGGATTTAGCTATGGGAGAAACAAAAACATAAAAGGATTAATCAAGTCACTTGCTGTAGTAAAGAACGAACTACAAGTTAACAACATTAAGGCAATTTTGTGCAAATTCGTAACATTCTGTGTCAAGAAACATGCATGACACGGATCTCACAGCGAAAAATGCTGGCAAGAAAACCACATCACTAGCACACCAAAGCCTCCGGACCACAATCCTTTACAAGTGTACCGTAAATACGGCAAGGTGAGCCATCATTAACGGCACGCCGGTTCTTTCTATACAGCTTGGTGCAGCCGGAGGAAGAAAAAAATAAATAAGAGAAGCAAAACCTTATTTAAAAAAAAAAAAAAAGCAACTGTAAAGAGCTTGTCTCTAAGGGTCTGTGAAGCCGCAGGCGCCCTGGTCGCCGCCTCCTCCCGCAGGCGGCGGCTTCCCCGTCGCCAAACCGCTTTTAAGCTCCGCCAGCTGGAAGCGGTGCCCCAGCTCTTCCCGAGGAGGTTCC